ACGCGGCCGCCTTTCATGATATACGATCGCGGCTGTGTCATAAGATATATGTGTAAGTTCCTAGAAGATAGAAGCATCTGTCGAGCGATCCTCTTGGCGCGTTTCTTTCGTTATTCGTCGGCACGAGGAAATTCACTGTTCAATCGATTTTCCATCGAAATGGAACATTCCTCCCGTCGAATTTCAACGCACTGTACTCGCACCTAAGCGCGTTAAACATCGGGAATAAGCAACTTGGCAACGGGAGACCTACTCCTTATTTTTTCCCAAACCATTTTTCACTACCTTTTTTCAAGTGTTTATTTACCGATTCTCGATCGAATTCCCTTTATCGAAAATTGTCCCTTCTCTCTGTTTTCCGTCCCTCCTTCGTCTCATTCGGTTACCGATCGCCGGAGCAGAACCGGGAAACTTAGCTCTGTGCTATACATATAGGCGGAAGTCGTGAACTGGCAAAAGGACCGCGGGACCGTCGAAACTTGTTGGAAACGAATGCGAAGAGATTGCCGTTGGTAAGGGCGGCGGGATCGCGATGCGACGGGGGTGGACAGGCCACGGTGGTAGGCAACGGTGAAAGAAGGGAAGGAACGATACGATGGTTTGAAACTTTTCCACTTTAACAATTATGAGCCGGAATTGAATACAGCTTGGACCGATTGTAAGTTCAGTCGATTCGCTATCCTTATCGCTATCGGTTGTCGCCATAAATAACCCGCGCCGTGATCTTTTAGAGCATAGCCGGCAGCTAGAGAATCGTCGTTGCTCTACCGTGGTTCCGTCAAGATCGCATACACGAGATTGGCTTATTTTTATTTCTCCTACCCCGACCTGGCTCCGAACGGGCGCCATCGAGATTAAAGAGTTGCCCGACAAACTGTACACGAGAAAATAATTCCTCGTGTGTCGAAACGAGCTTCCGTAACCTCGTAATGTCTTCTACTTATACGGCAAGATAATACTTGAAAGAAAAGACTTGGGTAGTTTCAGAGAGACGTAGCCCGATAAAAGGGTGTATTTTTATGATTTCTAATTGTTTCTTTACAGCCTTTCAGAATATCAATCTGTCTTGACAACGTTTTGGACCGTACCGAGGGTGAAAATCGGCGGATGCCGATGTACGGGTCTGTTTACAATCAGTCGAGATCAAGGGCGGGAGGTTTACGATAATCGAAGTTTGATCATACCCTCCGGGATGTTTTCAAATGGCCGACCATCAATACACGGTCCAACCTCGAGGGATGGTCGCGACACAGTAGCGAGGAGGATGGGCGCAGTATTGTGAGCCGCATAGAGGGTCGTAGGAGCACGGGTCGAGCTTGGAATTTGCGTTTAAAAGTTTCCAACGGTTCCGTTAAGTTTCAACGGTTACCGGCCTAGTGTATCCAAAGACGAAGTTCGACGTGCACGCCGTTCCCGAGCGTTCGAGTGTGAGTCTGCACGTTGTTTGTTTTCGAGAGAAAAGCGCGAGGGGAAGCGAAGGGATGCACCGGGTCGGTGCGGCGGACGAGGAAGAAAAGAGGAAGATGGAGCAGGGGAACGCGGAAACCTCAGAGGGTGAGGATCGAGAAACGTCCACGGGATCGGGAACGGAGTTCGAGAAAAGGACGCACGATGTAAAATCGCGAGGAATCGGGCCGAAGTTAAATAGACGACGGTGACCGTCGCTCGTTTCCGCTCGGAATGTCCGACCTGGCCTCTGGAAAACTGGCCTTTTTGTCGTGCTTTTTCCCGATGTTTACTAAACAGAATAACCGGACCCCGCCCAGTCGGTTTTATAATGGAAGCCTCGGCCGAAACGTTGGACGTTAGGAGTCCCCGTCCCACGACGAGTCCACCACCGGCGAGTCGCTACCCTATCGCGTCCGTCGGTACTCGTTTTGTTCGTGCGAACTTTTCGAGATACTTTTAAGAGATTCGGTCCGAAACTCTAGCAACTTTTCCGAGCGATTGTTATTTTGATATTGTTTACCCAGGCTAGTTCACCGGGACGAGATCAATGTGTGTCAGCTAATAAATTACGAGAACGTCCGGCAAATATATTTGCTGCACTTTCCGAACCTAGAGTATTACAGTCTGTATATGTATGTATAGACTATCGAAAGTTGATCAACTCCGAACTATTTCTATACAACTGACATGTTTCACGTACAATTCCAAGTGTACCATGAATTGTTATAAAAATCGTCAGCTTTGAACACGGAAAAATAAAATTAACGTTTAAAAAGAAGCTTACGGGTGAAAGCGGACAGTGGGGTAGAGGAGGTTTGAACGTTTTCAATTATTCCACGGATTACCGTATCGTTTTTTTTGTTATTTCCCTCCGATTGGAGTTTCGTTTCCCGGAATGGTTATAGTTACCACAATAAAAGACTCCACTAAATGAAGCCTGCTAATTTATTTAACCTTCATCAGATGTATTTTGTTCTGCAAACTTGAGTACAAGATGGTATATAATATGTCTGCGAATGAAATTTAGTTTTCGATTACATTTCTATCCCACGTGTGTAGTCACGTTAATTGGAACTCAACGGTGTCGCGACTTCGTAGAACTTTTGTCAAACTATCGTCAAGTCAGTCGCATAGTAATGTAGTGGAAACTTTGAATCACGTAAGTACATTACAGCAATATTAGCTTCGCGTTATCGGACAGGGGCAAGGAGAAGGCAAAGTTTTGCGACGCGTGACTGCGAGCAGTAAGAGGCGTAAAAATGACGGCCGGCAGTGAAACTGGATAAAAACTCCGAACGTGTCGAAAACAGTTACGAGGCCAGGAAAGAAAGGGGAATAAAAATTTCCTGTCGGTTTTTGTCAGCCTCTGGGAGACGGAGCGAGAGAAAAAGAGTGACGAGGCCGGGAATGGGGTTGTTCAGGTGGGCGGGGGTGGGAGTAGGGGGAAGAAGCTCTCGGTCTCGGCGAGACTCCTTTCTCGAACTTTCTTTCGTCGCGGAGAATTTATACGGGCATCGACAATGTCAGTTTCATAGCCGTGCTTCAATTCGCGACACTTCCGGCGCAAGGACGCAACAACTTTTACCCGGCGGCGTGGCGCGTCGCGTCGCGGCGGTGGAAAAGCAAGACGACGACGGTGCAATTGTGCACCGACGACGCCAGGCATCGAGGTTGTTTTATGGTCCGTCCTAGGGCCACGACTTGCCCGTGAGAAACGCGTCTCTGCCCCGTGGAACAGGAAGGACCGCGCGTATCGGAGATCGCCCCGTGGCCGCTTCCTGCGGAGTTGACGATAAACTTTCGTGTAAGTTAAGTACGGACGGGATGAAGATGCATTACCCGCTTCGCGACCTGTAGTAATGGCGGCCGATACTAAATTGAAGGGAGGAACATGTCGAGAGAAGAAGAGAAATCGAGTAAAATTGCCTCATCCTTTCGATAGTTCGAGGAACAAGTTATCACTGAATTTTGTTCCACTTCTATGGTTTCGGGATTATGACCTGACGTTTGGATATTAATTACTGTTGCGAGGATTGGAGGAGTTATGTCACATAGCGAGAGAAACGTAGCAGATGATTTTTGCCTACAAATAAACGAAACGTATATTTGCGGTTGTAAGTGAAGTGAAAAAGTAGAAGGGTACTTGAAGAATGTGCGTCGAAATTCAAGTAGCGTCATTGTAAAACAGTCAAGGGGTAAAATTTAGTCAGCATTTTAACTCGGTCTTCATTTTACGTATTTTTATGACAGCGAAGTACGAAGAGATTTCAAATGTTAAAAATAAAAGAATTAAATTTAGGTCATCTGTTTGTATTTTCTTGACAAATAATATTTCACTGCTCGCGTATAACATTATTCTATGATACGATAGTACGGTGTACGGTCTGTTTTAGAAATTTTTATTTTTAGGACCTCGCGACGAAATATCAAATATTAATATCTAGTAAAAGCGTCGTTTTCTTAATCCATTTTCAGTTTGGCCATCTTTCCAGAACCAAAGATGGTAAATAGGGTTCGACGTGACTAGATACATAAAAATATTTTCTGAAAACAGGTCAGTTTATTTTCAGCCGAGCTGGATGAAAATGAAAAAAGGCAAATTTGACGGTAGATTACTGCGTTACGTTACAGCAGTGCATGCAATCGCAACCTACACTGCTTTTAACGTTCTACAAAAAGCAGGAGTTTCCGAGGGTACTTTTGCAATATCAAACAGATTTTGCTCGATGTTGATATTCTCATTTGCAGGGTATGCAAGTTAGAAGTGAATCAAAATTTGTTAATTCAGTAGCGAGAAAATTGTTTTATACTTGCGCATCTAATTCTCGTTATATGACTGTGAGCCGTGTCTAATTATGCACTACGTAAATTGGAGAACCAAGCGAAGTGGCTATTAAATATCAGATAAATAATAACTTATTTAGAAGTAATAACTTATTACTTATTCTAGCATAGGAATTATCTAACTATTTGCTGGGTGATCGAGCACCGGCCGTTCAGGGGGAGTAAATTAAAAACTGCGCTACACCATGGGTGTATCGCCTAGTTGACGGGCCTGGAGGCGGCACTCGAGGTTCGCTTGCACCACCGTCGACCGCACTAACGCCGTTGCCGGCGACATCGTCGTCGTGCTCGTCGACTCGTCGTCGGTGGTTGTAGTGCAACGTGACGGTGGTGTAGCAACCAGGCAGCAGGATAGCGAGAACGGTGAGGCGAGACGAGTCGAGGCCGAGGGTAGCGTAGTGGTGCAAGCCTGGAAGGCTTGAAGGGCCTGAGTTGGCAATAGTGGAGAGCATCCACTCGTTGCGACACTCGTGAGCGGCCTCATTGTCTCTCAAGAGGCTCCTCGCTTCTCCAGCTTCGCCCTTTCCCCCTTCAGACCTCAGCTAACACCCCCCCTCGCTCCGATTTTGCACCCCACTCCTTCGTCCCCTTTCGGCCGAGTCTGCAACAGCGACGGTTCCCTCGCCTCGGCACCTTCACTATTCTCGGTGCCCCCTTTCGGTGACATCGCCCCCCTTTCCCCTCGATCTAACAATCCGGTAGCTTACCCCACTGCCACCGTTGAAGTTCCATCGGTGGCACGTTGGTGCTGCAGGTCCCTGCCGTTCTTCTTCATCGCCTTCCTTGTCCTCTTTCGCCTGCGCACCTCTTCTTCACCGTCTTCGCTCTTTGCCTCCTTTCCGCTCGCCACCGCGATTCTTCTCTCTCGTCTTCTCTTTCCACCGACCGCGCCGCTTTCCAGGTTCTTCTTCGACGAGAATAAGGGGAAGAGGGTAGAAAGAGCGCACTAGCAAGCGCGCTCGGTGACGTGGAACCGTGGCAAAGCACCCAACCTTAATAAGCTTATGCAGCACTCTCCAACTACGCTGAAGCTAAGCTCGACCCAATATCTTGGTCGACGTCTTCCAGACGACATCGAGGCGCTTCCCTCTTTCCACGTAGCTTCCGTTTGACGAACGTCTACCACGCGTCTGCGTGTGTCTCTACTTATCATCTCATTCGCATTTCGTCTCATTCGCCTCTTTACAATTGCAAATTCAGGGCCCGTGCAATCTCGATCGCCAATTTCGGGTGGACTCGTCGCGTAATCGGGATGCGGAAACGCGACGACGAATTAAACGGGCACGATGCAATAGGAGAAACCGGCACGTTATTCGCAAGACGTACCTCGGCTCCGGTAATGGTGTTATGCGCGCTGTAATGGGCCAGGTGCGAATAAAATTCGTGGCACGGTTCCGTTAGTCAGCTCTTGGCAAGTGCGCCTGAACGAAAGGCGCAAGGGACGCGATCGGGCACGTTGCGAGACAATGGCAACTAAATTCCGCGGCTTGGTACATCTTGTAAGAGGGCGTCGCTTTTGGCGAGGGTGAACGCGGGGATGGTGACCAGAGTACAAGCTCGGATGAGAGAGAGAGAGAGAGAGAGAGAGAGAGAGAGAGAGAGAGAGAGAGAGGAAGAGAGAGGCGGTCAGAAGACACACGTAAACGCAAGTTTCTGAGACGAAGGTGCAGCGACAGAGAGACGACCAGACGGAAGAAGAGAGACGTGCGGAACCGAAGTTGAAGAGAGAAGACGGAAGAAAGATATGGGTTGGGGGAGGAACGACTGATGAGTGGATGGAGAGAACCGCGAAGAGGATGGGAGGAGGGTCGGAGGCAGAACACGGATCGGGGTTTGGTAGCGAGGGGTCACGTCCAAGGAGGGACTGCATCTTTCCTTTGTGGGAATGCCGTAACGCTGGGTAGACACTTCCTTTCATCCGTAGCACCAGGCACGATGGGTCGCGCGGCATTTTGTCGAGGGAACCAGGGGTTGGAGGGTAGCGGGGCAGAGTGCAGATCGTGATGGAGGTGGAGGAAAACGTCGTTTGAAATTTTTACGTTGCGCCACGGTTATTCTCTCATGGATTCTCTTGGATGAAGTACAAGGACGTCGCCTCGGCCGTTCTTGTTTCCCTTCCGCGACAATTTTTAAAGGAGACGCGCCAGCTGCTACTCTTAACTTGTGTTTTAATCAATTACATGTTACGTATATTCGATGTGTCGTTTTTAAATGAGCCAGTAAATTCTTAATAAAATATATGTACGAAACTGAAATAGATGTATACTAGGTAAAACAGGGAAATAACTAGAAAATATGAGAGAATGCTTCGTCAGATCTTCAAGTAGTAATAGTAGAATCAATCTAGACAATTCTTTCTAGTACTACTAAATAATTTGATAGCAACGCCGAATCAGTATCACGAGAGATCAATAGTCAATAAATTCACAGTGCACAAAGGAATACAAAAAAGTACAATAGACCGATAGTAGAAATAAACGACGGAGAACAAAGGGGAGATGTAAGAAAAGAGTAAGAGCGTGCTGTTGAACAAAACAAGAAGATTCGAAGGAAAAAGAATCTGTCGACGCTTTGAACCTCTCCTAGTCCTTTTCCTCAGCAGAATTTCAAAAAGCCGGTGTGCAAAGCGCGTTCTTGACACGATTCCGATTTCACCAGCAATAGCTCAAATTAGTTTTCACGAGAAATCGAGCTGGTCGTCGTTGGCCGCGGCATCGCCCGTGGCTGTTCTCCGTTCGCGCTTTCGCCATGGGGCGCTCGTATTCTTTCCCGGTGGCGTCTACACCCTTCCCTACGTCTTCCTCTATTACGCATTTCCGGCTCGTTGGACCGGAAACGCTAAGATAAGGCGGGCCTACGGCTCCCGGTCTCTCGCGAACAAGAAGAAGACAGGGTTAGGGGTCTGGGTGTGTCTTATCCGGAAAATATTATAGGCACGTGGCCGGCATCGATCTTACGTGTAATGGGACGGTGAAACGTGCGCGATCGAATTCCATCTACCGACTCGAGGGACGCGGAGTATTGATGTGACCACGGCGGGAAAGGTGTCGTAGGTAACGAGAAAATTGACTTGGACAAATCAGCAGGGACAGTCCTCCAGAGTTTTGAGTGTTCAAATATAAAATAACGCGTGGTAACGGATAGGTCGAGTAATAAATAAATTCAATCCTTGTCGTCATAACTATAACACTCTGTCGTTGAATATCGGATCGGGACGGGGCCGATCTTCGAGTGGGAGAAGCGAACTCGAGATTTCCATAATCTTTCGCTTCGTACGAATTAACGCCGAGATGTCTATGCTTGTCGGATTACCCAACTGATCCGGATTAGGGGGATCGGACGTTTCAATTAACCCTAATGCTAGTGCCCGGAATATAAATAGAGGTGTTGATCAGGTATTACGAAACGGAAGAAACGATATCAATATCGCTGATGATTGGTTTTCTCGAGGGTGAGAATAATGTTTCGTCGGGCAGGCTTGAAGATACTTGGTTGAATTTATTGAGGATATGTGTAAATAAGAAAAATCGAAGCAAATTTAGAATACGCGAGCTTCCGGAATGGAAAATGATGAACAGTCGTCTATTATAAAGTTCAACAGGATAGATTTCAGTGTGCATAGACTTCGCTCAACGTTGATTCCAGTATTACTTCGCAAGCAAGATGAAAGATAGGTTGGCTACTTTGTAGAAGGCAGGTCAGTCGATATTCAAGAGATGGTAACAGCACGTTTCTTTACTGCAACTAAACGTTTCCATATTCATCGGGTTTTTTGATGGCACTTGGTGCTCTGGTGTCGCACGGTTTAAATACGATTAATCACACATTGTAGACTTTATAATTCGAGCTTATTGCATTAACTACATTCATCATACGTGAAGTTTGCCCTTCGCAACTTCATTTTTCAAAGAGAATACATTATGCATTATTATCATGACCATCGGTTATTTTTTATATAGCCCTCGCAGTATACAAATCGCTTCGTCATTGTACTTTTATAGAAACAGATAGCAATTAGTGATAATTATTATAAAATACTTCAAAATCATCAAAATTTTCACGAATAATTTTCAGTAATACATTATATTGGACATGTATAATTAAAAAATTTCCAGACGAGCGATTCAATAAGATTATCATAACATGTGAAAGGGACATTTAACCCACGACAATTAATCAACATTCGTGAAACGATTTAAGGCACCTTCAAAAGGGTAGTGACAGTTTTTCATCGAAGCTTCGAGCACCATCAAAGTCGATGAAATGCCTGACGTTGCAGTCGCCTTGCGAATTTGCCGTGGCGTGAAGTACAGCAGGATATGCACCCTCTGCCTCTTACTTTTTCCACCACCCTCCTCTCTCTCTCTCTCTCTCTATCCTTCTCTCTTCCTCTTTTTCGTCGTTGACGACTCCGGGAAACGCCCGACATCCCCTTACAGCTGAACCCGACTCTTCCTGGCCCGAGCCCCCTTTTACCCTTCGCCGCCCTCATCCAGCCTAGCTATGAATATCGTCAGCTCTTTTTCACCCTCGTCGAACATATTTCAACGGCAGTAGGCATCGAGAGGCTCGACGGATGCTCTACCCCAACGTTACGATCCCCGAATATGCCGCGGAATGCTCGATCGCTCATTCGTTTCAATTGGGATTTCGCCGCTTCCGTGGCGCAATGAGCATCCTAAAGGATCGAAGGGATGAAGCGGAGTCCGTCTGCTTGAAGGATAAAACGGATCGAAGGAAAGGGATAGAGCGAATAGATGAATATCATTAGGACCTCTCTGGTCTGTCTGCTACGTTGACACCTTGTCAAGACAAGATGCTTCCTCGGATTATTAATCTGTTCTCGAACTTGATTTTCAAATTTCAGTCTTTCAATTACGTACTTCAAGATTCCAAACGGAAAATCTTGCAATTGCAATTCATTTTGATCGTTTCAGCTTGATTTATAGATAAACATTCAAGGTCGAGACCGATATCCCGTCAACCTTCTTCTCCCAAGGTAGTCGGTTTTCCATCCTCTTCCCGCGGATTTCAATTTCGTTCGTCTCTCCATCGAGCAGTGCCGGTTTGCCAGCTCCTTTAAAAATCTCTTCCTCAAGCCGCAAGCGTCCGCGCTTCTCCTTTTTTCTTTCCGTCTCGACTCGGAGGAGCGATGCCTTGCATCATTCCGAAGATTAATTCGCTAGAACGGCTATCCCGTCGTTTCTTTATCCCGCCTCCTTCGCTGGCCCGGGAAGCTGTAACGGTGGCGAGAAGCTGCTGGAAGGCGAGAGAGACCTATTATCCGCCTTACTTCGTTACCTTCTCCTTTTATTTTATTTTGCCTCGACCCTTACGTATTCCCCGGCCATTACCGCTTATGTCCCGACGGTTTCCGTCTCGGTAACCGTCGCTTTGCGGTTCCCTCCCATCGACGACCGTGTGCCGTCCATCCTGTAACCATTCTTGTTTCCCTGTCGTCGATACCATTTATCCTCCCTCGCGCGTACTCGTTTCTGCTCTCTTCCACGAGATAAAAGAAGCCTGATCTCATTTATTTGCTCTCTTTCTCTCGCACCCGTCGTATCGGTAACATGCAATTTGAACGAAGGATTACGAACTTGAATGCTTTAAAAGTTCCGATGAAATATCTGTGACAAATTGTGTATCTTAACACTTGGTTCGCATTTCTGTACTAATAAAATTGTTGTTTTCTTTTCTATTAATTAATATCGAGTAATTTGCGATTACACGGAGAAAGTATTGGACAGAATTTGTAACAAAATAATGTCCCGATGGCTTTGTCGCGTTTCTTAAGGGATTCAAAGTCGAAGGTAGGATGGCAGATCAAAGAAACCAATTGGAGCGGGCTAAAACTTCCTTCCACGGGTGCACGAATAATTGAGCTTCTCCGCTGCGCTATACGTATACTATATACTCGACACAGAACTGCTACAGTAAATTATGAAGTAGCGACTAGAGCCAGTTAGCTCAATGCAGTGAAATAATGTCATACATGAAAAGCACGTACTTGATCCCGATCTGCGGATCGCTATAGGCACTCGAGGCAAAAGTACCGACGCCCGGGTACTACTACATCCTGTGCAAAGATGACGCCACTTGCTCTATGAACGTACCCCCGCGGTGCGCGTTTCCTCTTTCTCGCGAACAATAGATCATTTCAGGTGCGCTGAAACGAATACAAACGCAACGCGTAGACGTCTTTATGCGGTGAAACAATAGCCACCTATGACGTCTATGTCATTTTTACTTTAGAATGATGCGTTTCGCAGAGATAATTCATTATTGCAGCGCGTTATAAACTATTTTTAATTCTTCATGTGTCGTCTATTTATTCCTACGCATTTCTTTAAACATATTCGATAAATATTTAAATAAACGTAAATTTCAATATTTTAAAGCTTACAC